AGGCCGAGGGGGCCGTGGCGGGAGGAGGCCACGGGCTGGGCAGGGCAGGAAGGGAACCACGGCGCAGCGCCCGCAGCTGCGTCTGGAGCCCGGCGTTTGGGCAGCTTTTCCTCTGTTGCTGGTGGGACTGAACTGCTTTGTTCACTCAAGGCTCTTCCTAGTCACCTTTCTGCCAACCTGTCCCAACCACATCCACGTGAAACCACCCTGACCTCCAGCTTCCTCACTTTTCCAGATCTTCATCTTCTCTGCTCCAGGTCTCCCAACTCACCTTTCTTGCTTTCCCTGCTTTTACACTGCTGGGAAGAAATTCCTCTTTCTTCCGCTGATGTGTCCATTGACTGTTGTTGCTGACCAGCTTTTCCTTTTCTGCTTGAGTCCTCTCTGGTTTCTTGTGACAGGGGTTTAAAAGGAAAGATCAGACAGCAACTTGCTGAAAGTTTGCCCAAGGAGTGTTTCTTGTGGCAGACACAGCTAATCTTTGAGATATAAAAGCAGTGTGGTGCAGCTCTAGCTTCAGGCTCGGGAGGTGCCATCCTCCCCAGTGCCACCCAAAGCCAGTCCCTTTGGTCCTCTGTCTATTTACACATCTACTACTCCTAAGGAAGACAAAGAACACTGCCTGGTCTTTCACTCCTTATTAAAAAGGGTTGTCAGAGTAAGTTGTCCTTATATGTATTTTTTTTTTCCCTGCTGCCAGTTCCCGTTTCTCTCATGATTCTGTAGCGCTACTGCCAGCTTCTTTGTGAGTCCCTGTGCATGTGCTTTTGTGATTAATCAAGCCTTTTCACTTCCAGGAGGTGGGCATCTTTCTGACAATTACCCAAGGAGGCCTCACTTCCAACACTGCAGTTGGAATGTTAACTGATTTCTAATGCAGAAGATAAATCTACTTATTTTGCTAATTCTCATTGTCTGGGTAATTGTCATTTGCATAATTGGTTCTGCATCAGATACTCTTCACATCTCTGCTTGGCATTCTGTCACTCCACCACTTTCAAAGCACTGGTGAAGGAAGAGGAGGTGAGCAGTTAAATCTGTACAGGGAGAAGTTGTGGCCGAGGGGGACAGCCCGCTTGTCAGTCTGACGGTTCCCTGCACTGCTTAGGTTTGTTCCCTCTGCCGCCTGTGCAGTGAACTAGCGGTGTCAGTGAAACTGCTGAGTTGTAGATGGAATGTGCTGGCATCCCTGCACATTCTGGTGTCTGGGATTTAAATACTGCAGCCTCGCTTCGAAAGGGAAAGGCTATTTATTATATGTACGTGGAGAATATTTCTTAACTATAGGTGTGAGCAAAGTTATCTGTCACATGTTACAGTTTGTCAGGTTAGCAACCTGGGATGAAACCCAGGCCCTATTAATGTAAAAATGATAATTCTGGGGTAAGTTTCAGTTGTAATGGGATTCTACCTGGGAACTGCATGGATATTTGAACTGCATGGTAATTGGTGTTCCTCTTCAGCACCCTTTAGTTGGATTTCATTAATTAATTTAGTTTGTAAGCTACCTCTTTGCTAATATGCTTTGTCAATCCGCATTTATCTGACTTTGGACTACAACATACTTCCTTTCTACAGCTTCTTCTATTGCTTATATGTTTTTTTGTACAGTTTATTTCCCTGTGATACAAGCTTGTCTTTTATTTCTGAGCTTGCATAATTCATCTTTTTATTTTTCTAGTCCTTGCAGTGGCTATTTTTTAAATTTTATTTTTAATATACTAACGATACTTGCTGCATCGTTCTGCAGATTTATGGCATTTTGGCTACTCCCTCGGTGAAGAACACAATGCACAATGCATAATGTGCTCTTATATTTCCTACGTGTGGTCTGAGACTCTCTCCTGTTTTTTTTTTTTTTATTATTATTTTTTTTAAGTGAGTGAAAACAAATGGAAAAGGAGGTTAATTAAGTTAACCTTTGTCTGCTTAAAAAGATCTTTAGTGATTGTGAGTTCAGTTTTCTATCTCACAGTGGAATTCTTTTATTTTAGACTATGATGAAGATTTTGAAGCAGATGAAGAAGTTAATGAAGAAGGACAGACTAGTGATCAAATGAGTGGAATGTCGAAGTCATCCTCAGATGATGAGAAAGATAATTTAGACCGTGAAAAAGAGAGTAGAAGTTCATCACAGGAGGCACTGCAGGCCTCTGACGGTGAGAAAGATGAAAATGATGGACATTCTGACAGTGACTCAGAGGATAATGAACAAGGTTAGTCCTTTGTCAGAGCAAGGCTGAGAGCAGGCAGTGCGGTGCATGTTTTACGTTACTGGGCATGCCCAAAATGTATGGTGAGTCTGTATTTTTGTTACATTTCCAGTGTCATGAAAGTGACACTTTGGGTGTTAATCGCCACAAAACATCCCAACCCTTTGCATTTGTTGTGCAATCTGGAGAGTGGCTTTTTTTTCAGCTGCCTTAAAGTTCCCAGCTATGGAGCAGCCACTTGCAGCTGTAACTGGGAAGGGAAGGCCCAAGTCAGCTGCTTTGCTGCTCCTCGGGCCGAGACAAGGTCTTCCTGCGTTTCCACACAGTGTTCATTGAGCCAGCTGAGCTTAACGTGTCCCTCTACTGCACTTGTGGTACTCGTCGGGTGAGTGAGGGCAGATGGGCTAGAGTAGCTTGACATCTTTATTGCCACAGTGTGACATTTTACAGTTCCTGGGGGCTTAATTTGGAGGAACACAGATATTGATTTGTGCTGTGGTGCTGTGATGATGTACAAACTACGTAAAGGACGAAGAAAAATCATGCAATCACTACTGAATTGGTAAAAGATACCTTTTATATTTTTATCAGTTCCACCATCCATCACTAAATACAGCCAAATTCTTTGGGCAACATAAGCATGTGTCATGGTTTACAGCAGATGTTGCTAAACACTTTAGTTGCAGAAACGGAAAAGTAGCTAGTCAGCAAATTAGCTGTACATATTTAGGGCAATGGTAATGTCACTGGTCACTGAGAGCCATGAAGTCATGGCCACTTACCCATCCTGAGGAGTGCCCTTTTATCTGAGAAGCCATCATGAAACCCAACATAATAACTTGTTTGTCCTAAGTGTTATCTTTAATAATGACCCCAAGTCATTATAACCTTAGCTTTATATTCTGCTAGATCATTCACTCATGTGTGGTTCAGAGAGGAAAATGCAGTTACCCATTCACCTGTTCTACTTGCAGCAGTTAGAAAGTTTTTGAGGTTTCCAGATCAGGTCTGGTAGAAAACAGATTAAGAGTCCGAGCCTATATGACAATCTGTGATTTCCTGATGCGAATGTAGATAAGAAAGTGCAAAGTGCACAGGACAATTTTTATTAATTCAGAAAGATTAAACTGTTCTGGAATGAATTTCTGTAGCATAAATAGCATTTTCCATCCCTTCAGTTTCCTGCATCAGCACTTTTATTGCTTAATGTTTAACAGTTGACCTTCACATATTCACAGCAGCATATATTCATAAATAATCCGGTAGAAACTTGCAGGCAATTTCACATTTATTAAACAATCAATAAGAGAATTCCAGAACATGGTGAAGGAGCAGAAAATGAACTGCGTACGTTTTGGCTTGTCTCTTCTTCGTGAAGAAGTGGTTTACTTCTAATATTTCTCCTCTTAGAGAGAGCTCTTAAATCTCAGATCCTGAGCTGACTTACATGCTTGTTGCTTGTCATTATATACCAGGATTTCTCAATTTACTGTTGTTTTAAAATGAACTCATTTATATTCCTTACATTTGACAGTCCTAATATGCAAGCTGTTTCTCAGTTTAAACATTACTTTCACATTTGTATTTCTAGATTAAATTTGCAAAGGTAAAACAGCTGTTTGTGAAAAAGCTGCAGCTACAGGAAAGATCCAGTCTTTTTATAGAAAGTATAAAATGCAACAGAAATTCAAACCAAATTTGAAATATTTTTGCCTATTAAGTCATTGCAGTGATCAAAATTATCTATTTTTACTTTTCTAATGGTAATCAGAAATAGTTTACCCGTGATTCATGAACAATCAGTACAATTAAGAATTCCTCTTATTAGTGTAGGTATTACCATTTTTGTGATTTTAATCAGCTGCTTATCAAGCTGTGGCAATGTGTGTGGCAACTGTGGACATGTTTCTAGGTGGAATGAAACAGGTAGCTTATAACTGTCTTCCATAGCTACCTGTACACTAAGGACCTTCATTAGGGGCCACTCTAAATGAATTTTCAAATACCCTGCAGATGAAAAGGATAATTTGAAACATTATCAGCATTTTCAGTGAGCATTCCTCACATGGCGGGTGAAGAAGTTGCAGAGAGGCTGCCCAGAGGCTGCAGGAGGGGCGCAGGGCAGACACTGGCTCCATGAGGCGCAGCGGCCGCTCGGGGACGCGACGCGGGGCCGTGTTCGGGGGACGCGACGCGGGGCCGTGTTCCAGCGACTCGCGCGTAGCAAACCGAGCAGGAGAAGGGCAGTGCTGCTGTGCTGCGTCCCCGCTGGGTCTGCCCACCCTGTGCTCACCTTGTCTCAGAGGTGGTCTCTTTGCACCTACCTGGCCTGAGTGCATTTTTCCTTCCTGAGTTTAACTAATCTCTTTTTTGATCTGTAAGGACTTTGGACGCCTTCAGTGTCCTGCAGTAATAAATTCCACTGTTTTGCAAAATACTATATGACGAATTATCAATGAAGATTTTTTCTTCATTTTTTTTCTATTTATGAATTTTATATGATGATCTCTAAATCCTTCTTTTAAAGGAGACAGTGAACTGCCTTCCCAGTTCATTTTCTGTGATTTCACATGATTTTACAGATCTTTATTCACTGGTATGACATGAGTGCACTAAAGCACTTACTTTTCTTGATGTCTTTCTCAAACAGACATCAAGAAACAATTCTAAAGCCCTTAATCAAATTAGAGGAAGCTAATGGAATTCATTGTTGTTATCAGAAGACCAAGTGAAGTGACTCTGATTTTAACACTTAGAAGCCCAAATGAATCAATGTACAATTACTGGAACTTTGCCATCAAGTCCTTCAGGGCGTGCGGTTCAGAGGTTGATGTTAGATGAGGTCCTATCCCTTTGTGCATAGCAAAATGAATTAGTGGGCAATGAATGCAGATGTTTTCATGACGGATATTAAAATGGAATTGTTTTTCACTTCTAGATAGGAGGTCTTTGCACTGCTCCTCGTCCATGAGTACTTTGTACAGCAGTGAAGATGACTCTGCTGAAAAGTTCAACGGCAACGTTAAGGGCAATGAGGAGTATGATATTGAAACGGCAGCTGGTAACATAGCTCACACAAAGTATGGAAATGAGAATGGGGAGAATGATCAGGCCAGAATGGAGGACAATCCGGAAACTTTTGCACTGGAAAAAGAAGGAATAGATGAAGCAGAAGAGACAGAAGCAGCAAGGGTAAACGCTGTTTTTTTTCATGAAAATACAATGGCAATGCAGCATCAAGGCCCTGAAGTTGGTGGGCACCTCGAACACGCTGCGGCAGTAGAAGGTAACACAAGGGAAGATGGGGAGCAGGTGGCACATAACGGGAAGGAAGATGGTGAGGAAGATGTCGCAGTGTCTTTGGAAGATCATATGATGGAAGTAGAGGATAGAAATGAAGAGTCTTCTCAGAGTGACGAAGGAGGTGGTGAGTATGTTCCCTCTGCAGAACTGTGATGTGACCAGTGTGTGCAAGTGCTGCTCTGTTCGCCTTTATATGAAGTTATGCTGCTGCTTTGGAAACGCAGTTGTTGGACAACTTTAGTAGGCAATACCAAGCTGTCAGAATGCTCTGTACTGCTGTGAGCTAAATAACCATCCAGAATGTAATCCTGCTTTCTTTTCTAGTGTTTTAGTGTAAGGCTTTGGATATTCTTATATATTATAATTTTAAGATTCAAATGTTCTTTATTATCTACAAGAGAATCTGCATATTAGATTGGGGTAAATCTTATTATCATATGGCTAATACTGAATTCAAAAAAATTCCCAAAGATGCTGTGTGAGTCGTGGTGTAGCAGATGGATTAAACACTACATCCGTTGGCTCCTGGTTTTGTAACTGCACTTTGTGACAACCTTCTCCTCAAGGAGGAAATCAGCCCGACTCCTGAGTTTGCTGGTGAAATGGAGATGCTTCAGCCTCACCTTTATGGATGATGTGTTGGTAATGAGCAAATAACAAACAGCCACATGAACAAGGTTTTGCATTATGGGGAAACGGAAAGAATGCAAGTCCTTGCTTTGAAATGTTACCTGGTTCATAGAAGAGCTGTTCTGGCTGTTGTAAAGTCAGGCAGTGTAAAGAAATGTTCTGCAATGGTGCTGACAGAGCTGCATTCGAGACTGCATTTCCTGTGGTGTGTCTCTGTATGCTGGACTTGCAGTGGAATGGGTCAGGCTTTTGTTCTAACAGGTGTTTTTTGGTTCTGCTTCTGTTGCTTTCTGTTCACTGCAGTGCGAGTATCTGAGCCGCGTGCGGAACGAATGTCTGTGAATGCTGGTGCTCAGGGCTTGCAGGTCTCTTGCTGATGGGTTGTTGCTTTGACTGTCTTTCTCTTTGTTTTGCATTCAGAATTGGAGTAGAGAGAGTAGTGTTCCCTTCACTGGATAGTGCTGAAGTCGTACAAGTTGTTTGCTCCTGGAACCTCAGCTGGGTCGTGAAAGGAGCTTCAGTCTGAGCAGCTTTACCAGCAGCCTCAGGCGAGCTGAGTAAAGACCAGTGAAGGACAAGGAACTTAAAAAGCAGCCTATTACACTGTAGTGTAAAACCAAAGAAGGGTCAACTGAATATGTCAAGCCAGTAATCTGGTACTGAATTAACCCAAAACAAGGGAATCTTCTCCCATTTCTCTTAAGAACTGGGGGTTCTGAGTCCTGACAAGGAAGGAAGGAAGGAAGGAAAGGAAGTAAGTGGAGAGGAGTAGGAGGAACCATGAGAGGAAGGAGAAGGAGAAAATAACAAAGATGAAAAACAAAAGAAAAATAACGTGAAATGGAGGATAGGGAGAAGGAATCAGCAGTGTAGAAGACAACGGTACAGGGAAAAGGTGAGAGAGGATGGATGGTGTCTTGGCAAAAGCGAGGCAAGGAGCTGGGAAGAGAAGAATGTGAAGTTGAGGATGATGTTAATTCCTCTCACTGCCATCCAGTGGGAATATCCATCTTCCAGTTCCTCTGGAATCTTTCATTGCCCGGACTGATCCTGAAATAGCAGACCTTATGTTCTCTATATGCAGCTACAAGCATAAACAGTTTGGTGCCCGTTCTGCAGTCTCTTAAGAATGATAGCCCTTTCTGCTTGTGTGTTGTTGGAGGGAATGTGCTGTCACGTGTGTGCGCACATACACGTGCCTGTTCCCACATATAATGCAATGGGGTATATTCTTCACATGTACTTGTTTTACACTTGCTTGCCAAATTGGAGCTTTATCTGAAAGTAGCAAGTTTTTCTGTCTTGAATTCAAGGGGGATTTGTTAGAAACACAGTGCAGATGTTAAAATACTTAATGCAAATATTAAATGTAAGTTGCATTCCAGATTAAGCTGTGTTATCTTAAGTCATCTAATCAATCCGTAGCTTAGTGAAAGACCCAAACAATCCTTCTTAATGACTATGGATGCTGCTGTTTTCTGCTCCTTGCAGGTCTGTAGTCTTTACCTTTTCAGCTTAGCCACAAGAGCCAAGACAAAGATCGTTAATTACTGTGTAGCTGAAGCTATTGAGTTTTAGCCACTTACAGCTTGATGGTTAGACTGTTCAATTTCTGCAGCGATGGTGTCCTCAGTGTGAGGCTTCATGCATGACACCTTGAAACTCGCACATGGAGGAAAGACTAGCTCAGTGGGTTGAGTGTTTTCCTGCTCCTTCCTCGTCCTTCTGAACGCTTTCGGCAAGCGTCCTGCCGCCCCCGCTCACCGCAGCGCAGGGCCGGGCGGACAGGGCAGTTTCCATGGCACTAGTGGCCAGGGCAGTCTGTCTCTCTGTGCTTATTTCTATGCAGCCAGTTCTTCTTGGGTAGGAAGTGCCCGAGGTGCATCTGTCACTGTCGTCTGTTTGTGATAACGGGAGGGAAGATGCTGGTTGCAGAGATCAGGAGAGGCTTCCTGTTTTATGTTTCACTCTGGCAGTCGGATTGTTGCACACAGGAAAAAAAAAAAATCCCTGTCCAGTCTTTTTAGCATCCATTTATGCATCTGCTGTCCCGTGGGTGTGTATAGTCCACTTGTGGATCTGTTCATACTGTCTGGCCTTCCGCCTCCTGTTGCAGCTTGTTCACTGCCCTCTGTCCTGTCTCTTCTTGATGATGCCCCAAATTCCGGGTACCTTTACGACATGCTCTGCTGCAGAGGGGCATCCCCTTAGCAAGGGGCTCAAATCAGGGTTCATGTATTTTTTTCTCCCTGCTCCTGCACTCACAAGCTGTCTCTTCTGTTAATTTGGGGAATTGAGGGGTCATCAGGACTTTAATTGGGCTTAAAATAGAAAAATGCTACATTTTTTTTACATAGTTATGAAACAAAAGCAATTTTATAAAACAATGTTGCTTGTCCTACCCTCCATTCTGACAGAGGTTGTCTAGCTGTTTTGTGGTAACCTTGCAGAAGAAGATTGCTGCTCTGTGTCTATAGCTGCTTCTGCGTGAATCTCTTTTCTCTATCTGTTTTTCTTTTCTTTTTTTTTTGATAGTCGTTGCCATTTAATTTTAGTGTACTTCAAAAGAGAAAATATTTCTGGTGAAGATTCACTTGATGCCAAACAAAACTGCAGAAATATTACAGATTTTAAGTCGAGATGACTGAATGATTTCTACAACTGTTTTTTGATGGTTTCTTCGTTGCTTCCTCTTTTGCGATTTTGTGATTTTTTTTTTTTTTTTAAGATTACAAGTCGGTCCAAGAGGAAACAGCAGAAGCAATCGAAGATGATCATCACATGAACTCTGAACTTGAACCTAGTGATTCCAGAGCAGATGAGAAAGAGAACTTAACAAGCACAGAGCATGTTATCAAGGAAGGTGAGGACAGCTAACATGGCCAAGAACTGGGGTTATATTTCATTCATTTAAAATCTATTTATGGAACATTTTGCATTTTGCTTTACTTTCTAGGCTAAAAAGCCTTTCTGGTTGTTGTTCTTTACTTTCTTGACTCTTTTTTTTTTTTTTTCCGACTTGTATAAAATCAGGTGATGTCTAGCTGTCTTCTGTAGTCACGTATAATTGATGCCTTTGGGGGACTTATAATGATCCTGGGCAAAGAATCCAAGCCAAAAAAAGCCTGGCTGCCACTCAAGAAAATAGCAGTGAAAAGCAGGTGTCTGGTGAGTTCCCCTTTGCTTCCAAGTAGACGTAGTAAATGATAGGATGGAGCCTCCTGGGAAAATGTAGTGTCAAGACAGGCAGGATGCA